TATGCATCACGGCCGTACATAATAAAGATCTTATAGCCTGAGAATGGTTGGTTTTGCCTTATTTCCTGTTCTTGTTTGATGAAGGGCTTAGGGTAGGATCAGGTATTCGAAAGTCTCTAGGGTCCAGTGTTATGTATGGTTAGCATACACGAGTACTGCAGGGTTGGTGGAAGTTTCATGGATGGGTAGGTTGTTTGGGATGAGTCCGCCGATTATGAGATATTTAGCCTTCCTCTAGGAGTGAGGACTGAGCGCATGTCATGCTTATGTATAGTTTTAGGGCTTTGTGATGATACTTGAGACAAATATGGGTAGGTTTGGAAGGTAGTATGGGCCCGTACTACTGAAATCACAGGACCCATAAGCGTAGCAAGGAAGTCATAACCCCTAGGGTTTTGATTGGGAGTTGGTTCCCGGATTGTTATGTAAAATATTTTATATCTTTTTGGTATGTTTTCAGCATGGTGGTTACACGACGATTCGTGACTGGATCCGGGTCAAGAGAGGGAGAGGGAGAGGGCGGACAGGAGGCGCCGACAGCGCCCGAGACTATTGGCCATATGAGGCCGGTTGAGATGAATGACAGGATCCGAGAGATCCTGCATGATGAGGTTGCTGCTATGTTTCGGGCTCAGTTGTCGGAGATGTTTGGGTCTATCAAGACAGTTATGGTGGAGTATTTCGATGATCGCTATGCAGCCCTCACTGAGGAGGCTGCCCCAGCAGCTACAGCGGCTGTATCGGCGGCAAGGTTGGGAGCCGGCCGGGCTTTTCAGTAGCGGGACTTACAACACGAAGCCCCCTACTGTTGATGGGACTCAGGACCCCATCAAAGCCTTGAGGTGGTTGTCTGACGTGGAGGGATGTTTCTTCACGTGCTTATGTCCTACTGACCAGAAGGTCAGATGTGCCCTGAACTTGCTGAGGTCCGGGGCAAAGGACTGGTTGAGGCTGATGATTGGGTCGTATTCAGACGAGCATAGAGCTGATGTTACTTGGGAGCAGTTCAGGGATAAGTTCCGCGCTCGCTACATTCCACGAGTCGAGCGGGAACAGTTACCTCAGGAGTTTCTGGAGTTGAGACAGGATCAGGAGACGGTGACGGAAATCACTTGTATGTTCACCGAGAGGGCGCTGTTATGCCCGGAGTTTGCTTCTGATCAAGCTCAGATGACTCGTTATCTGAGCATGCTCAAGACGGATATTCGACAGTTTGTGGCAACCCATCGTTGTGATACGCTTCTGGACTTATAAGAGGCCGCCAGGCGGCGGGAGCTTGAGATTGAGTTGCAGCTGAGAGAGCAGGGTAGGGCCCCGACACAGACACAATCGGCGCCCATAATTCAGGGTTTAAATCAGATGCATTACGCTGGGTGTAATGAGCCCAGACACACGTTTCTTGCAACAAGCACATGGGACCATTTTGCAAATAAAGTTAACAGAAGGGGCTTAAGTATAATACCTGAAAATCATAATGTTACAAAATATGTAAATTACTTAAAAATACATATAAATATGTAAAAAAAATACTTTTATACATTTAACATACATAAAAATGCATATATATATATATATATATATATATATAAACTTAAAAATACATATAAATACGTAAAAAAATATGTTTATACATTTAAAATACATAAAAATACGCAAACATATACATATATAAAAAGTTTAAAAAATCATAAATACGTAAAAATATATATAAATACGTAAAAAATACGTTTATACAATATATAAAAAATTTGAGAAAATCTGCAGAAAAGTCTCATTATTTGAGAAAATTAACAATTTTGTCTCATGACCTGCTGAACAAGTCAAAAAGAGCATAAATGAATAAATTAGCCGGGTTTTTTAGGCTTTTCTATTCAAAAATCAAATAATCGTGACTTTACTGTAAAAAAAATTAGGACATTATCAAAAACTTTTCAAAATAATAGGATTTTACTATAGAAAACTTTTAAAATAAATATAAGAAAAGAAAATAGGAAAATAAAAAAACTATGGTATTTTTTCATTTACATATACTTAATGAAAGGTGAGGGTAAATGAACATGGAACCAATTTTCATTGATTTCCCAACCAAACTAATAGGAGTCTCTTTGAATATTTAAATTAAAACTTTTGATATTTGTAAACTAAAAACCAAGCATGTAATTCAATCAAAATAACAATATAAAATAATATATTATGAGATTATACTGTCTTATAATTATTATAATATAATAATATTATTATAAAGAGAAATTAACTACCCTTTTATATTTTTTTTCTTTTCTCATCCTCCTGACAATTTTAAATGTTGACATGTATCATACTTAATAAAAATAATAATATTTTAATACAGTTGTTAACATTTAAAATAGATAGAAGGATAAATATAAAGCAAATATACGAGGATGTTTAATTTATCTTTAAATACTTTACCAATCATTAGCCTAACTATTAGGCCTTTCGGTATAAGAATATTTTCACCCGTAAGAATCCTATATGGAAGGGATTTTCACTAGTGAGCAGTATGGTGCAAATGAGTTGACCCTGAGCCTGGTCAGACTTGGCTCGGGATCGTTAAAGTTAGGGATGAAAGTAGGTTCAAACCCGGACCGGATGGACCCGGACCCGGAAAACCCGGAACAGGTTAACGGGATTTTGTAGAACCGGAAATCAGACCGGTATATAGGAACCGATTCCGGTTCGTTTCCGGGTACGGTATCGGGTAAAGTGGGCCTAGAACCGGAAAACCCGGAAACATCAAAGTGTGTAGGTTGGAACCGGATAAAGTGGTTTTAGAACCGGAAAAACCAGAATTTTTTGGTAATTACTTACTACTTAGTGGGTTGAACTTTGAAAATTTTCATATTGATATCCCGACTTTGGGGGACTGTAACTCATTGAATATGAAACCAAAATTGACACAATTATAGTCTAAAATCATGTAAAAACTCTAAACTACACTCTGGAAAAAACTGCATCTCAATCCGAATTTAAACGAATGAGATATGCATGTGTTAACATTTTCACAGAATACAAAGTACAAAAACAAATAACTGAAAAGTTGAAAATATTCAGTTTTGATATCCCGACTTCGGGGGACTGTAAATCATTGAATATTAAACCAAAAATGACAAAATTATAGTCTAAACTCATGTACAAACTCTAAACTACAAGTTGGAAAAACTCACATGTCAATCCGACTTCAAACGAATTAGATATGCATGTTTTAATACTTTCACAGAATACAAAAAAAACTGAAAAACTAAAAACTTCCAGCTTCGATATCTTGACTTTGGGGGACTGTAAGTCAATGAATATAAAACTAAAAATGGCAAAAATTATAGTCTAAAATCATGTACAAACTTTAAACTACACGTTGGAAAAAACCGCATGTCAATCGGAGTTGAAACGAATGAGATATGTATCTTTTAAACGTTTCACCAAAACCGGTTCCGGTCCTAAAAGTGGTTCCAGTTCGTAACACCGGTTTTTGTTTTTAGACTCGGTTTACCCGGACCCGATGGACCCAAACCCGGATTAACCAGAACCCGGATAAAGCCAACTTTTAAACCCGGAACCGGAACCGGTTCTATATATTCCGGTTCTAACGGTTCCGGTTCCGGTTCCGGTCCGGTTTTTCGGTTCTAAATCTCATCCCTAGTTTAAGTTATACGAGGTTCGAGCTCGTGCTCGGTTCGATTCAAGTTTTCTTGTACTGAGATCAGCTCAAGATCGTAAATAATTATACAAGCTCGCTCGAGCTCAGCTCCTTTTTTGTGTAACTTGTCTAAATAATCTTAAGCTCAGTTCGAGCTCGTGTACTAATACCCTAAATCCCTAAATTCCTAATTCCCCAAATATTTTTTTATTTTAGTATATAAAAATAATAATAAATTATATTATATATAGACGCGTTTAGGCTCGCGAACCTAATTGAGCTTAGTGACATAGGCTCGAGCCCGAGCTCATTTAATAAACGAGCTTAATATTAAGCTTGAGTTCGGCTCATGCTCGATTAAAATCGGTTTCGAGTCGAGCTTTTAACGAGCCGCTCACAAGTAGCTTGACTCGTTTTCACCCCTAGTAAACACCATCTCAAAGCGTAGTAATTGTGTTGTGGAGTGAGGGTGGTCACAAATGTTCACAAAGGTCTCTCTCTCTCTCTCTCTCTCCTAGTAAACATGTTGTGGAGTGGCTATTTTGATGATGTGGTATGCACCAATGTTTTAAAACTCGGGTCGACCCGGCCGGTTCAACCGGTTGGACCGTGACCCGGGGTAGAAGGCGGGTCAATTGAGAACGGTTTTTTGTAAAAATACGAACCGGATCGAACCGGTCGGATTTCCTCTAAACCACGGTTGAACCGTTATGTTGAACCGGTTAAAACCGGATTGACCCGTTTTAATAGGGCTTGGATACAAGTAGCGAACGCCAAAACTATGTTTTGTTTTGTTTTTTGTACTCTATGTGGTTGTTTATTGTGTTTAGATTGATTTATACAATGTTTTGATATGTTTTTCAATGTTTAAACTTTGTGGACATCAAATTATTGGTTTTAGGAAAATAAAAATATATGAAAATAGAAAAAGTCCATAAACCGGGTTGACCCGGCGGTTCAACCGGTTGACCCGTGAACCTGTCATCACACTGGGTCAACTAAAAACTCGGGTTTTAAAACATTGGTATGCACTTCACTAGTAAATATGTTGTGACGATACATGATAACGTTATGAGTTATTATTATTGAAATGGAAGATGGAATAGCAATATAGACAAATATCAAGTACAATTTAAATCATATTTTATTGAAATCATATATCTATATTACTGAATATCGAAATGCAAGGGTATATTTGGAAATTAAGACGAGAATGGGAATGCGAGTACAATACAAGAAAAGGGCCAAATATTTAAATAAGGCCTGCCGACCCGCTCTCTTTGTCTTGCTTCTTCAAAACAACAATTTCCATTATTTTCCACCAAATTATTCATTTCATTCAGCGATGGCGATTTCTACCAATTTTCTTCTTCTCCTGGTGGCAATATCCGCCATGATGCTATCTGCTTTCATCATATCGCCGGCTGCTGCCTCTAGCGGCGGAGATGAATTTATCTGGATGTCCAAGCAGGGAGGAGGAGGATGCAAGGGGTCCATAGCCGAGTGTCTGGGATCTGGAGAAATGGAGATGGAATCGGAAAGCACTAGGCGTATATTAGCGACGACTAATTACATAAGCTACGGAGCGCTGCAAGGGAACAATGTCCCGTGCTCGCAGAGAGGTGCGTCGTACTATAACTGTCAATCAGGTGGTCAAGCTAACCCTTACCAGCGTGGTTGCAGTACAATTACTCGTTGTCAACGTTGATTTTTTTTTAATCCTTTTCTTTGTGTGAAGTTCTTCTTCTTCTTCTTCCTCTGATTTTCATTTATTTGAGCATAACTTGATGATGATTTGAGTGATTATGGTGATTGTTGGATGAATTTCATTTCTATTTCAGGACACGTTTATTTCTTCCGATTAAAAAGTTTTACATTTTAATTCTATAGTTTCGAGTGTTCATTTGGTTTGCAAATTTATGATACTAGTGTCTAGTTTTAATCATTCACTAGTGGATTATAAACAATATTTTTGTTTGCCAATACCTTTTCTATTATAATAATCAATATTTTGAACTTTTCTGGAAAATTGGGATGCAGATTCAATGATGAATCAGGTACATAGGGTCTGTTATCCATTCCTTTTTGAGATCAGCGTACACATTTATATATTTTTTTTCGAAATTTGAATGAGTAATTAAATCAAATTCACAAAACCAAGAACAGGGTACCGAGATTCGAGGCCCTGTAAGGTCCTTTTTTTATTTAATTCTTTACCTTTATCATATTCATACGTACGTTGCTGTTACTCCCTCCTAAATCCTAACACTCTGTTTTGAATTGGATGAATTATTGTTTCTGATCCACGACAGATTTTAGAAAACACGAAATCATCCACAGCAGAAGTTTATCAGATTTACCATTATAAACTACATTTGCCTGCTTTTATTGTTTTTTGTACGAAACTTCTGCTCATGAATACAATTGATAATCAGATAAATACTCTTAAGGTAATATCAAACTCAAACTTTAATTTTATGTGAAACAAAACTGAGCTGTACATATCAGATTCAACACTAGATTTAATGTTGTATAAATACAATAAACCAATAAATCGGTAAATATTAATATGATATTAATAGATATAATTTTTCTTTAAACTAGAAAAGATTCCCCGGCGTTGCCGGGGTCGGAAGGTATTGCTTTGTAAAGTAAAGTAGCATGTTGGTTGTTTTTTGTCCGTTAATGTGAGGGTAATTTGGTCTTTTCAGGTAGTAGGGACTGAATTTGTCACCATGGGTAAACCATATGGACCATTTATGTAATTTTGGCAGTGGTGGTGGTGATGAGAGATGGTGGGTGGGTTTATGGTATTGGGTGGGTATTTTCTAATAAATAAAACATTAATTTAAAACCAAAAAGAGAATGTTAAATCTTGTAAACCACAGGGACCAATCATGTAATTTTGTCTAACAATAATAATAATAATGATGAGGGACCATTTCTGCCAAAAGACTAAATACTAATAATATGTAATAAAATGCGAGGGTTATGAAAAATTCAAACCAAAGTGAAAGGGTTGTTTGTGAAAAAAAGCATAAAGATGAAGGGTCAATGTTGTAAGTTGGAGGACCAAAATTGACAAAAAAATGTGTCAGTTAAAACTTTTTATAACTTTAATATATATATAATAATAACCAGTAAACAAAGCGCGGCTACGCCGCTTTTGGTGAAAATCGAAAAAATTTAAAAGATATGTGATAAAAGTGTAAATCACAAAGCGACCGTTTCTGTAATTTTTTTATCAATATATGGACCATTTCTATAAATTATAGGGACCATTTATGTAAACATAATTTTAAAGTAGGGATTGCTTAAGTAAATATTAGGACGGTAGCAATCCAAGGACCAAACTGTCAACCTCCCAAACTTATTGTGGCCAAAACTACAAAACAAAGCAATCCAAGGATTAAAATTGTCAATTTTCCAAACTTGTTGTGGCCAAAACCTAAAGCATGTAAAGTTTTGTGGTCAAAACCAAAAATATGGAAAGTTACTATTCATAAGCTCCTTCAGATTTTGTTTGGCTTATCTTTTTAGAGACCAAAAGAACTTTTAGAAAAAGATAGAAGGGAAAAGATCTTTGGTAAAAGTATTTTAAAAGCAACTTTTGGGATTTTGATAGAAGGAAAACTGACTTTTTGGAAAAGACAGGAAATCCTGGCTTTTTGTAACTTTTCCCAAAAGTCATTTTGCCCTCTGAAAAGATAAGCCAAACACCCCTTTAATATATATATATATATATATATATATATATATATATATATAGTCAATTTTGATGGTTGTGTTCTTTTACGTAAACCAAATAAAGCATAATATTGGACAGAAGATATATCTTGGCAATCCTCTTGAAAGCTATTATTATTAATTTTTTTGCAAGTTCGAAAATTGAAATCATATAAAAAAGCAAAAGTACAAAAGCAAGTAAAAGAGAAAGGTATCGTCGCTGCCGTGATGGACTCGGTCATTACCAAATCCAAAACAAATGTCAAAGGACAATACATGATGACTTTTTATTCATATACCATTCTTTGAGGTATGATTTTCAATTATACTTTTAAAAGAATTTTTAAATTGAACTAATGCCTGAACGAACAAAAATTCGTGCCGCTAACTCTGATAAAACTTTAAAAGAAAATTTATATTCTTAGATCTTGTGGGCATGAAAATATGATATTCTTAGTATAACTTATTAGACTTTATTTATGTGCTACATAGTATCTAGCGTGTAGGTAAATTAAAAGTATTAAAAATTGTATAAACATTTTAATTTTTCCTGCACGTTTTTTCATGTTTTCTCATGTTGCATGAGACATCTTTTAAAGAGTCTCTCACAAAGAAACTCACACGCCTCATAGCACGCAAGAGAAATAACTTTTATTATATCTACCCAATCGTGTTTCCCTCCTATATATATCCAAAAACCAAAACGACAGTTGGTCAAAATGTTGAAGTAAAATTGATCGATGATGTTGAAGATATGAGATATCGAAATACAATTTGATCGATAATGATGGAGATCTGGTTATGCTGAAAAAAACTAATCAATTAAGATGTTATGATTGGTCAAGTGTTATAGTATTGAAGATATGTGATTGTTGATGATTGATAGTTTTGAAAATGCGAGAAATAGTGTGTGTGTGTGTGTGTATATATATATATATATATATATATATATATATAGAGAGAGAGAGAGAGAGAGAGAGCTAGGTTCAAATGTTTCCAGTAATTATTGTATGCATCTATGGACCAATGAGAATTTAAGAAAAAATAAATCATTAATAATAAATATAAGGGTATAATAGTAATCTATACTATAAATAATTATGGTAAATTGATAAAATCAAATAATATCCCTCTTTAAATTAGGTAATCAATTTTAAAACCTATAACACCAACACCCTTTCCCCGTCTTTCTGTAAAAACGATTGTCCACAACCATCATCATCTTGGCTCCCGACCACCACCGTCATCATCTCCATCGCCGACTATTCGTGCTATGCAATCGATCCTAAACCACCCATGGTCAAGGATGACAGGAGCACTATAGGGAAAGACTTCGAAATTAGAAATAAGAATCGAGAAACTATGCGATCGAAGAAGACAGGAGGGTCGGAGCTGGACTCATTCGCCGGCCAACACCATCAGACACCACCGTCAGGCATGTGTACTTTGAATAATGAGCCTACAATGCATATATTAGAGAGAACTAAAATGCATATATTATGATCCAAATGTAGTACAAAGGGTTTTAGGATTGTTATATAGTTCATTAGTAAGATTATGTACATGTTGAGCTCTTAGCTCCATAAGTAAAGTTTGATGAGCAATAAGGATATGGGATTATTGTGAAGAACTTAATGGATTAAGTTAAGTGTTTTGGAATATCTAAACATCTTATAAACATGTTTGAGAACCCATAGAAGTTGTATAAGATATTACTTTAAGAGACCCCAAGCAAATATGCAAAGTATGATGGCTAAATGAGAAAGAAAACTGAAAATGGAAAATCATTTTGTAGAACATGATGCGTTCTCAAAATGGATGTGACACGTAATGTAGAACACAACCCGTTCCTAAGTGAACATGATACATAAAGTCCTCTGACTTCGTTTTACACTTTGTCAATTCTTAGAGTTTGGCTTATTCATTTGGTCTAATTTCACTTCCATAAATCATATTAAGGCAAAAAATGAACATTTTGAGAGGTTAGGATTTTTTATGAGCCCTAGGGGTATTTTGGTCATTATAGTAACCTACATTGGTATTATATAGGTGATGATTAGGAAGCATAGAGTTTGGGAAAAGAGTAGTGCAAGTGTTGAAGAGTAAAGTGTTTGCTAAGCTTTAGACTAAGGTGAATTTACCGGGAGCATATGTCCCTTACTCTGATTTTCTATTCTAAAGTTTTCACATGTTATGATTTGCAAATATAATATAAGTTGTTTTAAATGTCTTTATGTGCCTTTACATGTTATATGCTTTTCTGTAAGTACTAATTGTGTATTTTATACAAAGTGGTTTTGGAAAGAAAAAAAAAGATTTCTGTAAAAGTTGAAATGTTGTAAAAGATTATTTATGCTGAAATATTGATAAGTTTTTTTGAAAACGTTTTCGTTAAAGAGAAATATTGATGTATGACAAAAATGATGTTTTATGATGAAATGATGTTTTCTGTGTTGTGGTGTTTTATGATGAAAACTATATGGGAATAAAACATGTGCATACATTATAGGATGGGTGCCCTTGTAAATCCATTATATCCATACGAGATTGGTTATATGATGTATGCTGACAGTGAGCGATTTCTAGATAATCTTCACTATGCACAAGTGGGCTATCTACCCTTCGTGTGGTGTTCATGTGATGATTCATGAATACCTAGCCTATAATGAGGAATTAGGAGATGTTTGTTTGGAATACACTCCTTCTTACATCCTTTCCATTAGTTGTGTTTAGAATACGCTCCTTCACACTCAAGTGCTTAACCATCAAATCAATGATATTGGACTTCTTTAGGGGAACTTGGGTATTGAGATAGCTGCAGATTGCATATTATTAATTTTGTTATTTACTTATCCTGTTTGGAACTAAAGTTGATCTTTGATTTTTGCTTAACTAACTAATGTTAGTTTAAGGTTAGTGGTTGTTTTAAAAGTTGGTTTATGGGTCATAAACCCTTAAACTTAATTTGGGTCATTAAATCTTTTGAGATTGTTTTATTAAACTTTGGGTTTTTATAAGGTTTTGGTCATAAAACTCTTACATTTTTTTGGAAATGATTTTTAAATGGTTTTTTGGAGGCCGATTCGAATCAGTTAGATTGTTATCTTCTTACTCCAAATGAATCTACCGTGACTATTCTCACTAGGCAAATTCATTGCCTAACTTATTGTAACGCCCCGATTCTCAGGTATCGATTTTATATAAGAATTTTCTTGATTTCAAGGTCTACTCGACGAGTTGGTTTTCCTACTCGTCGAGTAGCAGCGGGTTTGTCCGCGTGTTTTAGTGACCTACTCGCCAAGTCCAAAAAGGGACTCGACGAGTAGGAGCTCGAGGATGAAACCCTAATTTTCGGGGTTTTGCACCCTATTTAAAGGATCATTGGCCTCCCCCAGCCTCCCTTTTACTGCTTCTTGTCCCTCTCAGACCCTAAATCGAGTGTGTGTGTTCTTTTGGTGTGTTCAAGCTTGGAGGAGGAATTTTGGAGGAGAAAACACTTTAGGAAGCAAGGAAATCAAGGCTAGGAACTCGTGGGGAGCTAAGAGATTCATCAGTTGTCACTCTCTGGAAGGTATTAAGTTGTTTCTTTGGCTCATCTCTCTTTTAACCTCTTTTGCATGAGTTTTAAGAAAGGTTTCTTGTGCTTAAGCCAAGATCTGAAGTTGTAACTTCAGATCTGGACTCCCCTTGACCTCTAGATTCATAAAGTCATCAGCTTTGCCTAGTATGAGCCTTCCCTCAAGGGTGTAACTTCATTGCAAGCTTAGTTTTGTTATTTTAGGGTCTTAAAAGCCTTGCATGCACGTAAAGTTTTCAACTTTACGTGATAAGCATGCCTAAGGAAGTTGGATCTGCAATTTGGAGCCTTGGCATGGCTTAAAAAGTGTCTGTATGGTTGAAGGAATGAAGGGACTCGGCGAGTCGCATGGTCGACTCGGCGAGTCATATGAAGATGGGCATGGACCCGACGAGTTGGGTGAACAACTCGGCGAGCCCGAT